TGGCGGCGGCGGAGCCCGAGGCCGTGTCCGCGGCCGCACCCCCACCGGCACCGAAACCGGCATCGTCGTTCCTGGCCTTAGAGCCGCGGCTGCAGCACGAGTTACAGAAGAAGTCGCAGCGGGGCCGCAGCAAGCGGACGGCCAAGGTGAGTGAGGCCCTGTTGCGGAGCGAGGGCGGCCAGGCCGGGCTCGGCCCGTCCTGAGGCGCTGCCTTGTGTCCCGCAGGAGGAGCTGAAGCCGGGCGTGGTGTACGTGGGCCATCTCCCGCGGGGGCTCTGCGAGCCGCAGCTCCGCGAGTACTTTGAGCAGTTCGGGACGGTGACGCGGCTTCGGCTCTCCAGGAGTAAGAAGGTACGGTACTGCGTCGGGCCGGCCCCGGCCGCGGGGTCTGCGCCGGGAGCGGCCGGTTTGCCTCCCTGCGGGTACTGGGAGGTACGCGGATCTTAGGGTGGATCGTGCGGTCCCTTCGAGCCTCCGAGGCTTCTCCTCGCCCAAGCTGAAGTTAACTCCTTCCCGAGGTGCTTGCAGAGCTCCGTCAGTCGCAGCCCGGCACCACGTGGAAACCTTTGTTGCAGTTTCACGAGTGGGCAGAGAGGGGCACCGTGCATAACGGCTCGTGCTGAAAATAATCCTTCCAAAACGAGAATCGGGTTGAAGCACAGCATAGGAGGCGGTGTCTCTGGGGTTGGACTGGGTGAGTCTTCAAGGTGGCCACCAACCCAAACCATTTTATGATCCCATGACTGCACATAAGCAGTTTCAGCCACAGTTAACGCAGTCCCTTCTTTGCATGAGTAAACACGCTTGTGTGAGGAGTGTTCACTAATTCAAGGTAGAACATGAAATGTTATGGAAAAGACTTCATTTTAGTTATCGTGTTGCTTTGTGCTGAGTAAATTTAACTTCTTATTTCTGGATTTATCCTTGCATTATAGCATTGTTATAAACACTTGGTAACAACCACGGAACAGCAACATGGTGCAGCTCTTTTTTTTGGTAACAAATAGGTATTGGTGAGCAGTTTTTATTAATATACAGGTATATATTTATGAATAACTTCTTACCTATTTAGGACAAAATCTAGTGCTTTTCATGTTTTCACTGAACTTTATGAAATGATGTGTTTCCCTGAGAATGGGCTACGACTTCAGAAGCATAAAATAATTTTAATTTAGCTCTTCAGGTATCAACAGATCGTTTCAGATTTCTTTCTGTTGTTGCTTGCAGACTGGAGGCAGCAAAGGCTACGCATTTATAGAGTTTGAGTCCGATGACGTGGCTAAGATCGTTGCAGACACGATGAACAACTACCTGTTTTCTGAAAGGCTGCTCAAGTGTAAGTATAAGCTGAAGAATAAGTCCTCTAATGTGCAAAGAAAACTTAAAGGGTTTTTTTTAGGGGTTTTTTTGGCTGTTTGGAAAACCTTGTTTTGTTTTGTTTTTTTAAATGAAGTATTTATAACTGTTGGAGCTGCAATCTGTATAGTTAGACGTAATGGTCTTTTTTGATTAAAAGACTAATGAAATTAGCAAGTTTCTCAAGTATCACAATAGTAACACTTGCTTTGTAAAGGATTATGAGCTATATATGCATCAGCTTTTAAAAACAAGTTTCCCTGACTGTTTTCTGAGGGAAGCTGAAGAAGTGTTCTTTTCTTCCACCCATCCATTATCAGTTCTCTCACTGGTGAGTATTTGGTTCCTTCCCATCTTCTCTGTTCGTAGAATGCCGTACTGTTGCTCTGCTGTAGCAGTGGATAATGTTATAATGAGCACTGAATAGCGCTATGTGAGTGTATTTGGTGAGAAGGGTAGCTCTGCTAAAACTTGATGTCCTGTGTTTGTGATACAGGCCAGTTTTTACCTCCTGAAAGGGTCCATGAAAACCTCTTCAAAAGCAGTAACAAAATATTTCTGAAGCCTTCTCACCCAGCGGTCAGGCGGTACAATAAGATACGTTCACTTGTCCAGAAGGCAAAAATGACCAAGCGACTCCTACGAAAGGAGAAACTTCTGCGGAAGAAGCTGGCTGAAAAGGGGCTGAACTATGACTTCCCTGGATTTGTAAGTTTGGCGTAATTTTGATGAGTGTTTATGCAAGACATGTTCCTAAGGTTGGGATAAATGGAAGGAAAGTTGTTTCACTTGGAACTGTTTAAAGAGCTGGAGCACCAGGGATACTTACGTGTGTTAAAAACCTTACAGAAGCTCCTGGAAATGACCTTTGTGCTGTTGCTGGGTTGTGCTGTGTGTACACATGGGTTTACTTTTAGAGAAGTAAGTCAGTAATAGTGAAGTGAAGACCTAACTTTTCTGCTGTTAGTGTAAACACTTGGATGTCCTGTGGTTTTCATATTTGTCTTTAGATCACAGAAGAGTGAGGGGCTTTTCCCAGGCCCTATGAGGGGCTTTGGCAGGGTGGGCATTTGAAGGCAGGTCCCAAGAGTAGAGCTTCCATCCCTAGACCTTGCCTAAGCTGAGTGTATTGCTCATTCACAGAGTGCTTGGGTGAAGTACTTTAAATTGCTTAAAATTCAACATGGTATTTTTAAAAGATGCACAGTAGCAGCTTTTCTTACGTTGCTTTTGGTGTTTTCGTTCAAACCAGATCACCTCTGTGGTGCTCTTAAGTAATTTTATTAATTCAGACCTAATTGCTATAGCAAAGATTTTGTAGTTATGAAACAAAGAAACCCATGAACTGTTAAGTGACTGTTTGCATCTTCACACAAGGAAGTTTGTAGTGATCTGCCTAATCTGTCTTGCTTCCTAGGCTGCACAGGAGCTTTCCATAAAGACAAAAAAAGTTAAAAAATCCAAGAAATCAAAACTGAACGCTTCTTTGAGCAGCCAGGTAAGCCTGAACAGTCCTGATGGTGCCCAGCACCATGCTCCATCATTCATACTGGGGCAGGTGTTTCAAGTCTGCAGCTGGTTTCTTCATATTAATTTCAGCACCTGAAAACCTTGACACTGTTTGCTTGAGACATTTTTGTGCCAAAAAAGTAGCTCCTTTGAGGTATATTAACACTCTTGGTAGGGGGAGGGTGGGTGGATCCTCTCAGTCCTTTCTCCTGTAGGAGTATTTAGCAGCAAAGGCTTCAGCTCAGCATGTCGTCACTAGCGGTGCTTGTCCTGAGGTGCGTGCAGGCAGCGCTGTGTCTGCTGTCAGCCTCTGCTGTTCAGCGTTGTCTGGAGGCAGGAGAAATGCACGGTGCTGGGGACAGTCACCTGTCCACCACCTACATTTGTGCTTCGAACCAGTAAGAAATTATCTCCTTGCTGGCATCCTTCTGTTGGTCTGCGCTACATTATAACACCAGCCTGTTCTGACAAAAAGGAAGTTGAATGTTAGTACAGTCTTGAGCTGTCTGTCCCCATTTACATTCTGTACTGTCCCTCCTCCCTGGTGCTCTCGAGGCATGGTATTCCAGTATTTTGAAAATAAATGCCAGCTAAAACTAGCAGTAGAATGAAAGGAGAGCTTAGGTCATCAGGACTGAGATTTGGGACACTGACAGTCTGAAAAGTCTGTAAAGTATTAACATTTCCATTTTGTTTCATCACTGTTGTGAGCTTGGTTTTCAATGTTACTGGGTTTGCCTGTGGTAATTGGAGCAGGGCTGACTGTGAGGAAGACAGGATAACTCATGCGTTCAGTCAACTGAGTTTTGAGAGCTTACTGAGATAGTGAAGTTGGGACATTTCAGCTCTGCTGTGGGCCAGAATGTGGTGTTTCTGTATGCCAGTCTCAAATATAGTTTTTTTTTTTTCCACTGATGTTTTTTCCTCTTGGCTTTCTTGGTGCTTTGAGTCAGGAAACAAAGTTCAGAAAGCAAATGTGCATAATGATGTTAGAAAATGTGAATTAATTTATATTTGTCTTTCACACGTACTTTTTTGAAGATGACGCTTTTGTCTGAAGAAATACTGTCTGCAAAAGTAGCTAGTTACAAAAAGAAAACAATTTTCCATAACGTGTGGAAGTTGTGAAAGACGGCCGGACTGAGGTGCCTTGTGGTACCACAGAGGCAGTGACAACTTTCTCTGGCAGATCCTTTACAATGAATCGTGTTTTTCTGATCTCTTCAGGATCCTACTCCAGTCTGTACTCCTGCAGTGCTTGAGCGCCGGAAAGCTTCCCAGGCAGGGGATGACGCAGAGGACAAAGAAATAACTCTCAGACTGCCCGCTGCCAGTGTTAAGAATGCTGTGAAGAGACCAAAGAAGCAGCCAAGGAAAAGGCCAAACCTGAAGAAACAGAAACAGACTTAAAATGTTGATGACTGTTGCCATGTTTTTCCTCAACTCAAAAACTGGTGAGGTGGAGCTTCCAGTGGTTTTGCTGCCCTGGCTCGGTTCGTCTTGACTAGACTCTTTCAGTCTTTCCTAGGCAAGGAATCTACTCACAAATCTTCTCCTTCCTGTTTAGCTGTGAGACGACCTATGGTCTTCTCTGCCTTTGAAGATTTTTGTGACTTTGTGCTCTCGAGTGCCCGTTCTGTGACCCACCTACGATCGTGCCAAGACCTTCAGTTAATTCTGTAACTTGTCTCTAGCGCTCACTGTTTTGAGAAAAAAATGTGAGGCTGTCCATTTAGAACTTGCTGATGTGGGGTGTATCTTACATTTATAATGAATGATGGGTTATAAAAAAAATAATTAACCATTTTCCAGCTGGCTCTTGGTAGTGGTTCTTCTGTTTAGCTGAACACGTGAGTTCTTGCGTAGTCACACAAGTAGAGGGTAAGGGATTTTTTTCCCCAAGGAAGACATACCTTGAATTTCATCTCCCGTTTGAGATCTGTCAAGATCTGCCTGTACTGTCCAGGCCAGAGGCAGAACACCACCCTGCCCAAGCAAGCCAGTGCCTTTCAACCCTGCCTTCAGTAGTGCCTGGGAAACCCAGTCTTTGCCGGGATGTGGAGCAGTTGCAGAGGACTTGGAAAGGACTGGGATTAGGAAGGTGGTGAGAAGAGACAGAGGAAGGCAGCTGAAGTCACTTGCATTCAGGATTCCCATTCCTTTCCTTGTGCAGGCAAAAGATTTGTTTGAGAGTGTACCGTGCTGTGGAGGACGCAGGGTGACTCCTGCTGGCTGGTGGCTGAGCCAGAGTCGCAGCTACGCTTTTGTTCCTCGCACACTTGTGTAAAAGGTATTTCACGCTGCAGAGGTCCCAGGTGTCCACGCACTACTTGGCCCCTGGGCTGATCAGGCAAAGGTAACTTGCTAATTCTCTGGGACTTTGTGTGCCATAAACGTGCTGTCGCCTGGTTCAGAAAACATTCAAGGACCTGCAAAGCGTGGCTGCCTTTGAAGGGCCTTCCTGCTGAACTGTGGAGAGGAGCAAGCTGTGACAGCTACCTTACATACAGCTGTTCTCAGAGTGAGCAAAGCTCTTTGAGACAACGCATCATTGGAGCAATCTGGGTTGTGTTAGGACTTCTGTTGTCCTTTGGGCTCTGCAGCACCACGTCCCTGTATTTTAATTTCACTGTCTGCATAAAACAAGGATATCTTCTGCTTCAGGGGGTGATGAAAGCATTGCAGTATTGTAGAAAGCCTCTGGGTGGGTGAGCCAGGAATGGGAAGGCAGGTTTTTGTCACTAGTAGGACTGGGTGTAGCTTTTTGTTGTGTATGAAGATTTATTCTTGTTTCAGTGTAACCTGTCATAGCTGACTGCAGATACCCAGTCCTGTTTGAAGATGCAGTTTGACTGTGCAATTAGAATTTGGATTTTGTTGCAAATCTAAGACCTGCAAAAATTCCAGTTTGGGTTTTGTGACACGTACTTAGCCTTGATCTTTTATTGTCTGACATGAAGCACTTGCTGTTGGCTGTAGGTCAGGCTTGGCAGAGGATTTCAGAGGGAAGCCCAGGTGATAATAACTGGCTGCTCAGGTGGGTGGCTGGCACTAATTCCTTGGCTATTTTAAGACTTGGGCCCCTGGCAGAGGAGAAGAAATCTAAACCATTGGCCTGGCTAATTCTGTCCTGTCTGGCCTTATCACTTGAGTAATCATGTGACTTTAATGACATTCAGTGACTTAAATTAGATCATTCTCCTTTGTCTCTCTGAATTGTCGGGGAAATCACTTGGATGAGTGCATCTTGATAGCAAATGCTTGTCATCTTAGGCATGCTGGGGAGGTGAGTTGACCACATGATGGTGTTGCTGCGTACATCTTCAGGCTTTCTCTGCATTGTTTGATGTGAAACAGGCAGTGTTTACACCTCAAACACCTAGAAACCTCAGCTAAGGTTTGAGATAAATGTGGTCAGAGTGGTTGGCAGAAATTGCCTATGTGCTAGTAACAAGCCGCTTGGAAAAAAAACTTGCTATCTCAACTTCGAACAGCAGAGAGCAGCAGAACAGAAGCAAAATGCACCTGCCCAGAATGAAGAGTTTTCTTTTGAAATCTGTATTCATAACTTCTTGTGAAAATGAAGATGGTTGTTGGGTTAAGACAAACTAGAAATGTGACTGTGCTTTCTCCTGTCTGGAGCTGAATCTCTTATGTGCAGCTGGGCACCGGGGTAAGCACGCTTCAGGTGTGGGGGCACACAAACAGGGTTTCCTGGGAAATGACCTCCCAGATTTGGAAAGAAGCCTGTCTAGTCCAGGCAGTTTGGAGTAACTGGCTGCATTGGTGTGACTAACGCATCTCTAACCCAATTTAAGAATACAGGAGAAATGGGAGAAATCCATAAGGAATATAGATCTTATTCAAATATGCTCATTTCTTTGGTGCTGCTATAAATACTTCTTCCAAGGCTGTTGAGTTAAAGCTGCTCTTAAAAAACTCTGGTTTCTCTAGAGTAGCTTCTCCAGTGCCATTCACATTCACTGAAGCCTGAGCAGTTCCCTTCCTGTGCTTCCCATTCCAACTCCTCAGCCTCCCTTGAACCTGGAGTTGCTTTATTCCTACCCTGCTTCTGTTACCGTGCCCCTCTTGCTGAAAAGCAAGGAAACAAAATTGTGTGCAGTTTGAGTAAAGCACAATACTCAGGCTACAGTGAAGAACTCTCAGCAGAAAGGTGGCTTTTCTTGGTGATAGTTTCTGTTTTTAGGCTGCCTGTGTTATTAATACACTGCTGTCCTGGGAGATGAGCATTAGCAGAAATTCAGACACCTGATACTTGCCAAACATAGTTTCCGTAGCAAATGGACAGACGTGCTGTGTCATGAGTTATGCCTCGGTCCTTGCACTGATTTTTATTTCTCAGCTCTCCAGTCGTTTGTTCATTCAGCTTGGTCAAACACAAACCTGGACTGATTTTAGGGCAGGCTCTGAGTGGTTTTTACTGGGATGCTGTAAGTGCTGGGGCTTTGGTTTCAAAGGCATAGCTTGCAAGCTCTCTGCCTTTCTGTAACGAGTGACTCTGTGGAGCTCGTTTACTGAACACCTGCGTACATAGTACCATTTTCAAGCTGCAGAAACACTTGGGTGCTAGGAAAGCCTGCTAATTTACACTCATTCATGCTGATTTCTCTGTTTTGCATGAAGGGGAGCTGGGATTAGGACTGCATGGCATTTTCCAGTACATGAAGCCCTGGAAGTAAAAGAGGAGTGGGATGGGGGGAGGAGGTAAGGAGGATAAAGGTAGAATTGGCTCGAAAATAGAGGGGAGGAAGGAATGATGAAGCCAATGTTCACCTCTGGAGAAAAAGATGTTGGTGAATTTGGCAGTGTCAGACTGCTTGAAATTAAAGATGCAGTTGGACGTTTTTCTTATTTGTTTTGCCTGTTAGATGTGCTGTGGGATGCCCAGCCTGCACAGTGCATCGGGAGTGTGCTGCAAAATGTGGTCCAAGTGTCAGTGCTTGCTCATGAACAAGAGGAGGAGAGCAGGCTGGGCAAGTGACACTTGCTCTTGACAGTGACAAGCCTGTTTGCTTGCATACCTGGCTTTTTAAATGACTGCAGCCCAGAGGAACAAAGCTAAAACCTGTCTGCAAATAGGTCATGGTGCAAGGGATGATTTGTGCACAGCTCTGAGGGGTGACATCCTCTCCTCTCCAAGGACAGCACTAGCGAGGCAGACAGTAGCTCTAGGAAATTCCTCCTCTCCCAGTTTTCCTTTCAGAGTGCTGGGGTGTTTGGTTCTCACTTTACCTGTGCCATGCAGCTGGCCAGGGTAGGGCTGTGTTGTGTGACTGTGCGTGGTGTGTGTGCGCTGTGCACATCTCTGTCCTGGGCAGTCGCAGGTGAAAGCTGGGCCAGCAGGCAACAGGAGTACTGTGGATGTGATCTCCATTAGGTTTTTCCCAGGAATACCAATGAGTCCTCCTCTTGGACCAGACTCCTTCATTGTCCAAGGTGCTGTTCAAACACATCCTGTTTTCCAGAGTTTGCAATCTAACCCACAGAGTCTTGAAGCATCCCACTCCAGGCAGCCATAATCTGCATCTTCTTGGCCAGAGATATGTGGGGACAACACCAGGGTGCTGCTGGAAGGAGGCAGTGGGGAGGGCCCTTCTGTGTGTCAGGCTGCTGCCTGGCACCGGTGATCCAGGCACGTCCTTCCCTGCCCGAGGCCAGCAGCTGTCAGAGCAAGCTGAGGAAACAGTTAACTGCTTGAGTGAGAATTGCTAAAATGAAACATTTTCTCCCACGCAGGGTGCAGCAAGGCCTCTCGCCACTTCTGCCACCCAGCATTAATTAAGCATATGGCAGGGACAGAGAAACTGGCTGTCCTGGGAGGCTTGGACTAGTTATGTACCTGAGTGTCTGTGCCCAGTAACTATGTGGGGAAGGATGGGCTACAGAGAAGTTCCTTTACAAGACTTGGCTCCAATCACAGAAGAAAATGCTGGTTTGAAATTGTCTGCAAATGTAGTGTCAAAGAGAGCAGGCAGGATTGTGAGGACGAATGCCGCAGGACTTTGAGGCAGCGCAGTGGGTGTCTGCAGTGAGCTGTGGGCACTGGAGTCGCCTCCTCTCTGTGGCTGCACATTTTACCCTGCACTTGACACACCACGTGCAGTCTAGGGTCTAGCCTAGATTTGAAACTCCTTGTTTTCAAGAACAGGGAGAAGAAAAATAAATAAAACTAGTTTTTAGGGTAGTGATCATGGAAAGCCCTGGTTTTTTCTGTGTGTTTTTTCAGTGTTGAGAGAAGGGCTTGGTGAGCAGGTACAAACCTGGAAATTAGGCTGCTTACTCCACAGTGTGGTGTTTATGCTGGTTTCCCACAAGTGCTTGCACAACCCCCCAGCTTGCATGGGTTTTGGTCTCTTTAAAATGAGTGGGGAAGTAGAGTTACTGCTGTCAGGATGGC